CCACAGTCGGGATGGAGCAAGTCGGTGTAGACCAAATCCTAAGCCAAGTCCCATGGTCGGGCCCCAGCAGTCCCGTCTCCCAGCAGTTGCCAGGTGGAGGTTGAGTATGGGTCCATTAACAAGAGGGGCATTTGATGTCTCAAGGCACAGATACACCTGAGCTGGATTTTTAAAATATCTTTTTTTTAAAACCTTTTTTTGTTGTGTTGTTTTTTTGAGACAGTCTCGATACATAGCTCAAGTTGAACTCACTATGTAGCCCAGGCTGGCCTCAAACTTATGATCCTCCTGCCTCAGCCTCCTAAGTGCTGGGATTACAAGTGTGTACCACATACCTGGCATTTAAAAAAATTTAAACATACCTTATTTCCAAACAGGGTTTTCCAGAGAAATTAAGTCAATGAAACTCATTTTTACTTCAATGCAAGCATTTTGGGAAGTGCTATTTTTTAACTTATTATTGATGTAAAATGTGTCTAATTGGCTTCATTGTTTCTGAACTCATAATTTAAAGCCCAGGACTTGGCTTAGAAAAGCCTCATCAGTGCCCCTGCTGAAAGGTTTCCAATGAGCTGCAGCTGCCTTGCTCTTGAGCCAGGTGCCAACCTTCAGCTAGGGCAGTGGGCCACTGCCACCCACCAGCTGGAGGGCATCAGCCCCTCAGGGCTGGGGCCACGGGCAGGGCTGACAGGCCAACCTTCTGCACCTGCTCCTACCCGAGCCTCGTCCTCTGCACCACATCCAGCAGAAGGGAACAGAGCCTGCGCTGGGCTCGGTAGGGCTCCGTGGACCTCTCTGCTCACTCTGAGCCTGAGGACAGAGGAGAGCCAGGGTTTCCGCCCTGGGAAGGTGACATGTGAGGGCCAGACCTAGCTGCTCCCTGGAGGGTCTCTCTGCATCCCTGCCACTGTCCAACCCTAGCCCAGCCCCTCCTTTCCCCCAGCCTCAGTTTCCCCACTGTGAATCGGTGTCAATCCCTTCTGGAGCTTCACAGCTTCTAAAGGTCTTGTGGCTCCAAGGCTGCCCACCTGAGCAGCACCCCAGCTCCCCTGCGCCCCTGCCCGTCAGCCTGCTCACCTTGGAGCCGGCCTCCCTGACAGCTGCCCCGTGAGCCCAGGAGCCTCTCCGTACTGCGTCTGCAGGAAAGAGGACAAGGACACCAGTCACAGATGCCGAGGGAGCCCCCGTCCGGAGCTATGAAGATTTTGCCCAGCCTCTTGGGGTCTTGTTTTGCTCACTGTAAGATGAGCAGCAGCCGTTTTCTCAGGGACTGTTGGGCGAATTACAGGCCACGAAGCAGTAAAGCACCCGTGGGGTCTGAGGTGGTTACTACCTCAGGCTCCCCGGCCATTCACAGGGAGTCTCGGGGTACTTGTCAAGTGCCAGGCAGGTTCATGAAGGAACATGATGGCTCTGGAACAGGACCCAGAGAGGCCCCGCCCACATCCCTTGTGCCCACCAGCCCAGGTGAAGTCAGCAAAAGCCCGACTCCCCGGCACAGGAAGATGGAAAGTACCTTCGCCAAGGGCCTTGGCCTTTGTACAATACTCGACGTGGGCTAGCAGCAAATGTCAGGGCCTTCAGAGTATGTATTTCAAGCAGGCACAGAGGAGGAACCGGAGTCTTCTAAGGCTCATGAAAGAAGCCAGATTTGGGCTGGGTATGGTGGCACATACCTGCAATCCTAGCACTTGGGACGCTGAGGCAGGAGGATCATTGTGAGTTAGAGGCCAGCCTGGGCTACATATGAGTTCAAAGCCAGCCTGAACTGCATAATGAGACTGTTTCAAAAATAAATAAAAATAAAAAAGTAAAATAAAAAGCTGAGGTGTTGTGTGCATGTACCAACTCCCAAGATTAATGTAATTATAATGTAATGCCCCGTGTGGGTATCAGGGAAGTGGGTCTGCAGTGCAAATCCTGGATGCACCCTTGCGTCTTGTACCGGAACCCGTAGAGAACGGGAGTCTCCCTGCTCGACCGGGTTTCACCCCTTGAAAGGGATGGATGACCGCTGGACTTGGGGCAGCCCTGACACGTAACACCAGGGTGGGCGTCACTTCCGCGTCTCCGGGCCTCTGAGGTCGGTTCTTCAGCATTTCCTTGCTGGGCTAGTTTCCCCGGGACTAAGGACAGGAGTGGTGAGGAACCGCGCTCCCTCCACTGTCCGGCCCTCCGGGTCTGCATCCTTCCCGAGCCCTGCAAGC